TTCTGTTCTACTTGAGAATGTGGGATGTTTTATAAACACATTAAGATTTGCAAATAGACTAGGGAAGGAAGAAATTATTTCATTGTCAATAATGAGATGATATGTTTGTGTATACATAAAATTTCAATCAAAGCACTCTAATGAAAACTAAAAAGCCTGTTAGAGTGAGATCCATATTATGAATGGTCTCTAAGTAACATGGGCTGCTTTGTTGTAGCATATTTGGGTTCTACTATGCGTTAAAGGCCCATTTTGCTTCTGTTATCTCATTTGTCTTCCAAGTTCTGGCAATTTAATTAGAGTTTTAGAACAAGTAGGAGCTCCCAATGAATGGGTCATCCCTGTTATAAGTTGGTCACCATCTGCTAACTGAAAGTTGCAAGGCTTATCTTGAGCATGAAAGAAACATGGAGCCACAATTTAAAGTAAGTAGGACACAACTTTCTGCATGGATACGGGAAATCCAGTCTTCCTGTGGTCTTAACAAGAGCTGGACCAAAATATCTGGGTAACCCAGAGACATTAATCATGTTATACTGGTTCAAAGCGTTTTGAGGAAGGGGTGGGAAAAAATCAGTCTTTGCTAATAAAATGTTTTTTTCAGGAAGAAATTCAATTACGATTTTTCTTCTGAAGTAGAATCAGTGTTTGGAAAAACTATAGACAGCCTATTTCTCATTTTTCTGCAGTCCTCTTCTCAATTTTCTATTGTGATTTTTCTGACTTGGGAGGCATTTTTCAGTTGATGTAAAATGCAAACTGAAATGTCTTCCACTCTTCTCCTCTGGCCACGTTCCCTTTCCAAAAGCAATTAATGTGGTCAGTTTCATGTGCATCTTCTCTGGCATGTGGAAGTGTTTTATCTCCAATCCCTTCCTCCCTAAGCTATTATATTAAAAGGGTCAATCAAGTTAATCACTTCTTTTAGTAAATCACACAAACACTCTGTATTCCCTTTTTGGAATTCATCACAACTTCCTCACTTCCAGGTGCTGAGTGTCACGCACATCACAAAACATATTTAGGAGTGTTGTTTTTTTCCCACTTGAGGGCACTGCCTACTTTCATCATAATGTGATCATTTTAAGATTTGAGAGTTGATTGCAGTAGCATTTTTGCATCTGTTATACATAAGTGCCCAAATACTTGGCTGGCTCTTCTGCTTCTTTATCCAGCTCTGGTCACCTTCTGTATCATAAAGGTGAAAAGATCCCAGCAGTAAACTGTATTAGTGCATTTTCACATGCTATAAAGAAACAGCCTGAGACTGGGTAATTTATAAACAGAAGAAGTTTAATTGACTTCCAGTTTCATATGGCTGGGAGGCCTAGGGAAACTTACAATCATGGTAGAAAGTGAAGGGGGAGCAAGGCACGTCTTACATGGTGGCAGGAGAGAGAGAGAGAGAGAAGGGGAACGCACCATACACTTATCTAACAACCAGATCTCACGAGAACTCACTCATTATCATGAGAACAGCAGGAGGGGAATCTGCCCCCATGATCCAATCACCTCCCACCAGATCCCTCCCTTGACAAGTGGGGACTTCAATTCAAAATGAGATTTGGGTTGGGGACACAGAGCCAAACCACATCCGTAACCAACTCTGGTTTCAGGCTGAGCACCCTGAAACAGCAGTGCTCATTTATTCTGAGAGTAGAGCTCCTGTTTCTGAAACTCTTCAGAGTGGGACCCTTGCAGTGGCTTTGTTGCAGTTCTTCTGGCTGGTGGGTCCCTGTTGGAGTTTGCCTTTTGTTTTCTATGCAGAACACACTTCTGCTTCCCTGCACTGTGGCTATTTCCCAATTTCTCCTTGCTTCTCAAATCTGTCAGCCCTCATCCTGCCTGTCTCATTAACTCCACTGCGACCTCATAGTTGTAGAGGGAACACCCTCATCTTCCTGTGACCAGATAGACAAACCTGCCTGTATCTACTCCCATTCACTTCTCTTTCCTTCTGTTGTTCCACTTCTATCTTTTGCCACAAGCATCTCTCCTTTTTATGGATAATCAGTAAAATGAGTAAGATTCTGTCTAGAAGCCTCATCTTTAAACAAAACACACCACACTGAACTGCTCAGCTTCCCAGTAACTACCACCTCTGCGTGGTCCCAGCTCTCTCACCTGTCCTTCTACATTGTCTTCCACTTGCTCCCCCATCTCATCTATTCTCCGTTTAAGCAGCTAGGACAATCACTTAAAAATGATCAAGTCAGCTGGGTGTGGTGGCTCACACCTATAATCCCAGCACTTTGGGAGGCTGAAGCAGGCAGATCACCTGAGATCAGGAGTTCGAGACCAGCCTAGCCCCTCTACTAAAAATACAAAAATTAGCTGGATGTGGTGGTGTGTGTCTGTAATCCCAGCTACTCAGAAGGCTGAGGTAGGAGAGTCGCTTGAACTTGGGAGGCAGAGGTTGCAGTGAGCTGAGATTGCACCACTGCACTCCAGCCTGTGAGACAGAACACAATTCCATTTCAAAAAAAAAAAAAAAAAAAAAAAAAAAAAAGATCAAGCCAGATCATTTATCTTCTTTGCGTTTTAAACCCATTCAGGCTGGACGTGGTGGCTTACACCTATAATCCCAGCACTTTGGGAGGCTGAGGCAGGAGGATCACTTGAGTCTAGGAGTTCAAGACCAGCCTGGATCTTGTCTCTGCAATAAATAAATAAATAAGCAGACCCATTCAAAGACTCCCCTTTGCACTTTAGATAAAACCCATTTTCCATATGCCGCTTTCCAGCTCCAGCAGGGCACTTGTGTCTTCACTTCCTGCCTCACTTCTAGCCACTCACACCCTTGCCCACTCTTCTGTGGCCACAGTTTTTCCTCCAGTTACCCAAATGCATGAAATTCTCTCCACCCCTGTGCCACCCTCTTGGCATTTTTCTTTGGAGGTCTCACTCTACAGCCCCTGGAGTGGCTGCACTTTCTCATCCTCTTGATCTCATTGTCACCTCCTCAGGGGGTCTTCACCAGGAAGTCCACACAGGTCCCTGGCCCCACAATCATGTTTGTTCCCGCTTAAGACTTCATGGCTTGCTAATATTTACGTGTTTCATATCCAGAGAGTTTCTAAGCCCTGTAAGGGCAAGGTCCATGTCTGCTTTGCTCCCCGCTGGGCACATGATAAGGGTACCTGGCACATAATAGGCATTCATTTCAGGGCCATTTGCTGAGATATGTGAATGAGTGAATGAAGGCTGGCAGGCAGCTCAGCTCGGGTTTGTCTTTTCCTTTAGGACACAGAGCCAACGTCTCTGTTGTGCTTCATGCTCCTTTAGAGCCACAACGTCGTGGAGATTGAGGAGATCTTGGAGGGCTTCTCCTCACATTTCCGCCACTCAGGCTCCATCTCCCATCCTCCTGCGTTTCAAAACAGCTCAGGCCCAGCCTTGGGTTCAGGGGGTCTTTTGCTGTCAGTCTCGGCTTATCAAGGGATGCTCCTATTTTGCTTTCCTCCCATCCCCTTTGGGAGCGGGATTACGGTGCAGTGGTTTAGGGTGTCTGGAGCCAGACTACCGGGGTCTGAATCCTGGCTTCCTGGTGGTGTGACTTTGGACAAGGTACTTAATTTCTGTGTGCCTCAGTTTCCTCACATGTCAAGTGGGGTTAATGACCACATGCAGCTGTGACAGTGATTCAGTGAGTAAATGTACTTAAGGCACTTACCATGGAGAAAGTCAATATGTGTTGGCCATCCGCCTCTCTCCCCTCTGCCTTCTGCTCGTGAACTCCACGCGTTTAGTCGTTCCAGGCTCTCCCCAGCACCCACGTAGCGAGAATAGTCAACTACTCTCTGTAGTCCCTTTCGCGTATTCCCCTTCTCACTCTTACTTTCTCTTTTGCCCCTTTTTCTAATTCAGTGTTTTTTTAAAAAATCTTTTGGGGGTCACAGGCTCTTTTTTGGATTTAAAGAAGAGTACTTATGGACTGTTACCTTAGAAAAACTCAGTATTTGTGAGGTAACCCAAAATGAGCACACAATTCAGATACCCACAGATGCCTTGGCATCTCTCTGCGGCCCCCTGGATAGATCTCCTGTTACAAACAGCTGCATCTCTGTTGTCTTCTTTGCTGCTGTGGACTGAAGGAATTCCACTCGGAGAACTGGAACTGTCCCTTCATGAGTATTCAGGAAACAAACCTCAGAATACAGCTAGAAAAGTCTCTTTTCAGAAGGTGAAATCATGATCCCATTTCTGTGTGTATCCAACATGATACCAAACTGGTATATGCATAAAGTGATTACTTATATCTTATCATACAACTTACGATTGCTACTCATTTGGGACATATGGGAATACCAGGCTAGTTTAAGTGAGGAAAAATTTGAATTAATCAAATATATGTCTGTGTGTGTGTTTTAAGCCCAGTTTCTTCTCAAGTTGTAAGGTAAGAAGACATGATATATGTGTGCCAATGGTGATAATAACAGCCAACTGTTTTCTGGATAGGTGTTCTTTTAGACATAGTTTTATACATATGTGTAAAGCATAGCTAAGTACTCTAAGTTATTATAAAGTAAAATAAGCATTTATTGTGGCTGTATTAATTACCAGTGTACAATAAGTGCTGCAGAAATAGTCTAGATAACAATATATTCCTTGAAGGGGGTTAAATATTCCTTCAGCAAATATGTTCACTTTCTAAATTGGTTAGTAAACTGTTTTATAGAGGGGATACCAAGGTATACTTAATGCTGGTTGTGGATTAGAGGGTCAAAATTGTTATGGTTGAAAAATTAAGACAAAAACAAAGAAGGAAATCATGATGGTTTATTGTGATGATTGTTTCTGGGCTGGACTGTCACTGAACAAACAAGGGCTCCCTGACCCCCTGGGCTGGCCGCATTGTGCGGCCTGGTAGGTGATGGAGGTCTTGGCCACATTGACCTGAAAACAGTGCCTGTGAAGGATTGCTCAAAGTTTCCGTGTTCCCAGGAATGCTTAGGAATGCTCCGTCTTAAACAGTATTTTAAAAATTATATTTTCTCCAGGATTAAAATCACCAACGGAACCTTCCAAGGAGACCAACTGAGTGGAAATAACCTTCAGTAACTGCTAATGGGAGTTGGATTTAAAACCGTCAGCTTAAAATAAAAGAGCTCATGTCTCCTGAACTGCTATCCAGCCGGGTAAATTGTTTTTTAGTGTGGAATTATGTACACTTAAATCATGGTGTATGCATGTGGTCAGCACTGCTGTTCTTTTAAGTGGGCTTGTTTATTTAAAAGACTCGAAAATGAGAAGTTGTTTTGCTTACTCAGTTGGGGTTTATTGTAAAACTCGATGCCAGAAAAAGAAAAAAGTACTGTTTCTATGCTGCGAGTGTGTGAAGCGTGTCCTTTCCAGAGAAAGGACAGTCGTGGTGTTTTTTTTTTTCTGTGTCCAAAGAAGGAAAGCTCTGAGGGCCAGCAGGAGGCTTTGTGAGGGATCTGGGGTTATGAACACTAATCACGCACTAACCACTGGTTTCAAAAACAGGAATACCCAGTATACGTTTTTACTTTTATTCCTTTGCAGTAATTAAAATCATACTAAAGTGAAACAAGAGCAGGAGAGCAAAGTGGGAATTTTTCATATTGGTAGATGATATTCGTTGTTAAAAGGGACAGTTTGATAGCCACGTTGGAGAAGCTGTAGTTGTCGCCCTGCTCTATGCTATGGAGTGTCATGAGTGAAGGTTGTGCTCAGACTGCTACGGGTAGTCCAAGTAGCATCAAAGCAGCTGAGCAAGTCTTGAGATCCCATGTGATACATCCAGCCAACACCCATGGAGTCATAGACCCATCGCCCAGAAAGACCTTTCCCTGGAGGCTGAGCCTCGTCTTAATCTGCAAATGTGGAAAGTGGGAGGGGTCTAGAGAGGCAACATGACTTGCCTAAGATCACACAGTTGATCTGTGACAGGGATACACAATTTTCTTACAAAAGTGAGACTGTAATCACACCAAAAATCTTAGAAAATTATCCTAATCCACCACAGTTTATTTATTTTATTTATTATTTTTTGAGACAGGGTCTCCCTCTGTTGCCCAGGCTGGAGTGCAGTGGCATAGTCATGACTCACTGCACTCTCTGTTTCACAAGTTCAAGCGATCCTCCTGCCTCAGCCTCCCAGATAGTTGGGACTATATGTGCACACCACCATGCCCAATGAATTTTTGTATTTTTTGTAGAAATGGTATTTCACCATGTTGCCTAGGCTGGTCTCAAACTCCTGAGCTCAAGGGATCTGCCCGCCAATGCCTACCGAAGTACTGGGATTACAGGCATGAGCCACTGTGCCCCGCCAGTTTATTTTTTTAACTGTGATTTAAATCCTTCTAAGTGCAGACCAGTTATCCTCTCAGAAATTTTTCTAGGCTTCCCACCCCCTCAGGTTGGGCTCACTTGTCCTTTGTTTTATTCTCCTTTGCACTTTTTAGAAATGGAGTAGCTATGAGAAATATTAATCGTCCCTCCTCCTGTTTTTGCAACCAGCTGTTTTTCACTGAACACTCTGAAAGTGCCGTTTTAATTGTTTTGGTGAACCTGGGCCGTGGAGTTATCAGGTGATGATGGTAGTTTCGAGCTTAGAGTCTGTGGGCATTTCAGTTCTCTGACAGTGGAAAGCTGTTCTGAGCCAGGTTGACACAAGTGAAGAAACCTGCACTGTTGGCCAGGTGCGGTGACTTACGCCTGAAATCCGAGCACTTTGGGAGGCCAAGGCGGGTGGATCACAAAGTCAGGAGATCAAGACCGTCCTGGCCAACCTGGTGAAACCCTGTCTCTACTAAAAAAAACAAAAATACAAAAACTAACTGGTCTTGGTAGCACGTGCCTGTAATCCTAGCTACTTGGGATGCTGAGTCAGGAGACTAGCTTGAACCAGGGAATCAGAGGTTGCAGTGAGCCAAGATTGTGCCACTGCACTCCAGCCTGGAGACAGAGCAAGACTCCGTCTCAAAAAAAAAAACAAAAAACACACACACACACAAACCTGCACTGTTAATATCAGGGTGATGACCACCAGGAGACAGACAGGCCCTTTGTTCTACTAGTGGCTAAAACATTATAGGAATGAGAATGAATAACCTTTGTGAACCCTAAAGTGCGCTACCTGGACAAACAGAAACAACCTGGACAAGAACCTGAGATTAGTGAGATTCCAGGCTTTTTTTTTTTTTTTTTTTTGGAGACAGGATCTCACTCTGCTATCCAGGCTGGAGTGCAGTGGTGCAGTCATAGCTCACTGCAGAGTGAAATCTCTGGGCTCAAGTGATCCTCCTCCCTCAGCCTCCTGAGTAGCTGGGACCCAGGGTATATAAGCCACTGCACCTGGCATGATTCAATTTTTACATTTAATTTTTCTATTAAAATATGTCTATTAAATATGCCTATTTCTATTAAAAATAAGCATACAAACACATATAGAAAACAATATTTTGGACATCTGTATACCCACCAGTCAGCCTAATTAAAATCTTTTTGATATTTTCTATTTCTAGCCTAGCTGGAGGCCACTGTTATGAATTGGGTGTTTATCACTCTTGAGGTTCTAAATTCAACTCTTTGGGGCCTCCCTCAATGCAAGGGCCTGTATTTAATGGGACAGGAGTGGTATCTTGCAGCAGTAAAATCGTAGTTTTGGAACTGTTGTAAGACCACTATAATGATTTGAAATGTGTCAGTGAGATGGGTCTGCAGAGAGCCGAAGTGTTTCATACCCTAGATTCCTGACTAGTTGGGATTTCCCCAAGGGATGAGAAAGTATGGTGGTCACTGAAGGTCACTCATCAAGGTAAACCTCAGACAGACACAGTTTGAAGAAATGTATGGTTTAGGAGTAGTGCTTTTCAAACTTTTTTTTATTGTAACTCAAGTAAATTTTCTATCGTGACCCTGGACACAACATGCCACCACCACCACCACACACATACACACACACACACACACACACACACACACACACACACACACACATCTCTGAATGAGAAGTTTTAAGAAATTATTATAATTTATTTCAGCTTCCTTGCAATAACATCTATTTTGTTTTGTTGTTTTTACAAAAGCTATTTTGTTCCAATAAATTGATTTCACATACCATTAGTAGATAGGAACCCACAGTTTAAAAAAAATGAACCAAACCAGACCTGGTTTAGTGAACTGTTACTTGTTTCATGGAGCAAAAGTTTCTAAAAGGTATACACTCTGCTGAGTATTTTTATAAAAAGCTTTTCTCTGCAACTGACCTCAGCTTAAAGATCTTTGCCGCAACTTACTAGTAATGAATCCCATGTAAAACTAAGCAGAATTCACAACTCTTTTGGGGTTCAGGTTATTCTGTCATGAGACTTCTCCTTAAAGCTCCTAACCCTCCTCAGCCATTGCTTTAAGGCAGCCTGACTAGATTAAGTAAACAGAACTTGAACACAGTGACTTAACTATACTTTATAAATTCATGATTGTTAAGCCACAAAATCAATCTTTCCAAATAAAACTGAGTGTAAGTCAAACTGCCAAGTGAAAAAGAGCAGCTATGGAGCGCGCAACTCACCCTTTAGTCATAGTTTATCTCTGCACAATGTCAGATAAAGGCTAGATGAGGAACAAAGTGATGGTGACTGTTGCTTTATACTCATTAAATCTCATTTGTTTTTGTGGGACCACACCGCCATCCTCCTCACCCGAGGTGCCTGATAATGATCACCCTAGCGGGGGGTTATAAGGCACCTTTGTTCAAAAGAACTTTATAGAATTGGACTCAGAAAGGTACAGCTTGCCCTCCAGGGAAGCAAAGGAGAAAATTATATTTAATGCATATTACACAAATAGTTGTTGGATATTATGAGTTAGATTGATCCCAAGATCCCAAAATGCTTGAGTCAGCTTGCTCCAAAATGTTACCAGCCAGCCACTTTAAACATTAATGAGGTGGCTGGTTTCTAAAATCTGGAAGAAGGAGGAGGTTTTGATTAAGCCAGCTATTTCACAGAAGAGGAAATACAGTTCTACCCTAGGAAATTTAAATGAGACTGTTGAATAATTAGGGAAGAACCTCTCCTGTGGATGAGAGGGCAGAGAAGAATTCAGCTGATTTTAGGCCAAATAACAAACGGGACAGCTGTGCTTTTTTGTGTATGTATTTGTGTATGTGATGGTGTATAATTTCTAGAAAAGCAGTTCTCAGGGATTTGGGTCGTAAAAATTTCCACTTTTAAAAATTATTGAGAACGCCAATGAACTCTTGCTTATGTGGGCTATATCTCTCAAGTTTTACCATTAAAAAAATTGAAACTAAGAAATTTAAAAATATTTATTGATTCATAAGACATGAACCTATGCTATATTAACATAAAATATTTTTATTGAAAACATTGTTTTCAAAAAGTTATTGAGAACAGTATAATTGTTTTATATTTCTGCAGATCTCTTCACTACGGCACACTGAGAGCAGCTGTCCAGCTGTCCCGAAAAGTAGTTTGGAAGACTGTGTTAAGAGTGGCTGTCCAGGAGTGGTGAGATTATTCACGATCCTGTTTTTTTTTTTTTTTCCTTTTCATTAGTATTTATTTTCTACAAGAAGATGATTACTTGTGCAAAGTACAAATGAGAAAGAAAGAACATACTCATGTCGAGGAAAGATTATGGAGGCCCTGGAAAAATCCAGGCAGAGGAGTTTACACTTGGGAGACCAGGGAACCACTGCCATTTCTTAAATGGGAAAATGAATTGATAAGAGCTGTGTTTGGGAGTAAGTGGATTAGAGTTGAGAGAGAGAAGGAGAAATGCTACTTCAGAGGAGTGATGTGGTGGGTCAGACCTCAGGTGTCGGTAGAAACGGAGAGAAAGGGACAAACTCTAAAGACTGAAGGCAGAATGACCTGAGACCTGGGTCTAGGGGATAAAGGAGAGCGCAGAGACAAAGACAGCAGTTTTCAAATTAAAACATTTGAAGAATGTTTTTTCCCTTCTATCCAACTTTGGGGCTTGGTTCTGTTGCTCAGGTGAGAGTGCAGTGACACAGCCTCGACCTCCTGGTCCCGAGTGATTCTCCTGCCTGAGCGTCTGGAGTTGCTGGGACTGCAGGTGTGCGTCACTTCTTTCTCTCCAACTTCAACTTTTTCTGAACGTTACCTTGATTAAGCTAATTGAAGTCTTGTGTTTTCCAGAGTTGCCCAGGCCATTCAAGGGCTTAGGAGACAGTCTGCACACTTCCCAACTTGAATCGGTCCCAGCTGCTCCCAGAGGAACGAGTGAATTGGACCCTATGCCACCCCTGGAGAGCTGCTCGCTGCCCACTTGGCCGTGAAGGGCTGTGCGGTTCCCCTGCGCGCCAGAGCCTGCCGTGGCCTCTTATGCACTCCACCACCCCCATCAGCTCCCTCTTCTCCTTCACCAGCCCCGCAGTGAAGCGACTGCTAGGCTGGAAGCAAGGAGATGAAGAGGAAAAGTGGGCGGAGAAGGCGGTGGACTCTCTAGTGAAGAAGCTGAAGAAGAAGAAGGGAGCCATGGACGAGCTGGAGAGGGCGCTCAGCTGCCCGGGGCAGCCCAGCAAGTGCGTCACGATTCCCCGCTCCCTGGACGGGCGGCTGCAGGTGTCCCACCGCAAGGGGCTGCCCCACGTGATTTACTGCCGTGTGTGGCGCTGGCCGGATCTGCAGTCCCACCACGAGCTGAAGCCACTGGAGTGCTGTGAGTTCCCGTTTGGCTCCAAGCAGAAAGAGGTGTGCGTCAACCCTTACCACTACCGCCGCGTGGAGACTCCAGGTGGGCTGTCTTTATCGCGTCAGGGTTTATCTTCAGAGTCAAGGGCCTGTGCCCCATTGGTGGAGAACGATGGGGCACCAGCAGACAAAGACGTCTCCCGAAAGAGAGAGACGAAAAAGAGAGAGAGGAGAGACAGAGACAGAGAGAGAGACAGAGACAGAGAAGAGAGGGAGGTTCAGTTTCGAGGGACTGTTCCAAAGTTTTATTTCCTGGAATGAGGCAAATGTCCAATCGAAGGTTCCCATGAAAACAATATTCCTGCCTGGAATGCCACAGGAACTCAATCCAAAGGGAATAGAAGTAAAACCCTGTTATAGCCAGTGCGAAGGAATGAAGATAAACTCCAGACTAGTCAGAAAAATCTAGAAAGAAGGTATTTTCATTTGATTCCAGTATGCATGTAAGCTTAGTGTGATTTTGAAAATGAGGCAGATGGCTAATCAAAGAGAGAAAACTCCCATAAAAGTTTTATTTGGAGGTATCTGGGACAAGTCGATAGAATCGTTTACCAGTTCTTGGGGTCCTAAAAGGTTTTAAAATGGCCTCGATAATGATAAGCTACAAAAAAATCAGTATCTTCGTGCCCCCTGCCACCAAGAAACTGAACTGAACTGCACTAAACTGAAATGAAGCCAGTTTTCTGGCTACTACTTTGTTCAAGTTCAGGTAAGTAGAAGGTGTCTCATATCTGGGTCCGAAAACAGCCAATGAAAGAGTTGCTGGACATCATTCCAGGCAGTTATTTTTTAAAAATGGTTTCAAATACAGACAGGTATCACTTAATGATGGGATTGCATTCTGAGAAATGCATCAGTAGGCAATTTCTTCCTTGTGCGAACATCCTGGAGTGTACTTACACAAACTTAGATGTGATAGCCTGCCACACTCTTAGGCTATATGGTGTAGCCTGTTGCTCCAAAGTTACTAGCCTGCACAGCATGATACTGTACTGAATACTGTAGGCAATCCTAACCACAGTGGTACTGAATATATCTGAACAGATCTAAACGTAGAAGAGGTACAGCAAAAATACAGGATCATAATCTTAGGGGACCACTGTCTTACATGTGGTCCCTCAACCAAAATGTGATTATGCAGTACATGACTATAGGAAAGTACCTTTCTAAAACCCCTCATGCTCCAGTGTGTGTATCTGTATATATGTATATACCCGCTCCTCTTGAAGCCAGGTCTTTATTTTTGTTGCTTCACACTGGCTATAACAGGGTTTCAGTGTGATTCTCTTTGAGTGTTTCTGTAGCATTCCACACAGGAACACAGTTTTAGGAGAGCATTCTCTCTTTGACTGGCCATCTGCCTTATCCCAGGAAACCAAAGCACTGACATATTAGCTCAGGGAAATTGCCCATGTGCAATGAAGAGATGATCCTGTCTAGCTAGGTACGCAGGGTCAGTTTACCTTAAAACAGTATCCAGCAAGTGATTCATGCCCAGCCTGCCTCAGTCACAGCTAAGTGATCTTTCAAGCTTGCAGAACTTAAGGAAGTCATCTGCCTGTGTGTGGATGCCACCCACAGCCCATTCAGGGACTGAGGCCCTGGTTGAGAAGGTATTAGATGGTTCCACATGCTTGGCAAATCTGATGTGTTTTCTCTAAATCCTGGAGCGAGTTGCTTTCCTCCCGTCTTCCCTGCTTCACTTTGACTCTCTTTGCTTACTTAAAAAAAAGTCAATAATGTCTAAGCTTATAGCAAAAATGACTTGATTCCATTTTGTGTTTCAAAGATTTGAGTTACATTAAGAATCCAAAATATACCCAAATGGAAAAGTGTCCATTAAGAAATCATTTCTGTCTTCTTGAATAACATAGTTGTAAAATGTGACAACATGTAAGAAATATCTTGTAAAATGTATCTGGTTTTCCTTTTGAATATTCAAAAGCCTATTTTTGAAGGACTATTTGACATTTTAGTTTTTCTTCTTCTTTTTTTAAACAGAGTCTCGCTCTGTCACTAGGCAGAAGTGGTGAGATCTTGGCTCACTGCAACCTCCACCTCCCAGATTCAAGCAATTCTCCTGCCTCAGCCTCCCGAGTAGCTGGGACTATAGGTGCATGCCACCACACCGAGCTAATTTTTGTATTTTTAGTAGAGACAGAGTTTCACCACCTTGGCCGGGAGGGTCTCAATCTCTTGACCTTGTGATCTGCCTGCTTCAGCCTCCCAGAGTGCTGGGATTACAGGCATGAGCCACTGCATCCGGCCCTTAGTTTTTCATGTTCTGTAAGGAATGATAGTGTGAATGTTTTACATATGGTAGATAGATTTCATTTTATCATAATTTAGGTGTGAATTTCCAGAAGGAAAGATGAGTAAAGATTATATTAATTTAAGGTAATATTTAAGTTACTTAGGTTTTTATTACTCTTAACTTTGATTTTTTTTAATAGAAAAAGTAGATTTTATATCCAGCTAGCTATTCATAAAGTAAATATTTTAAGAATAATAAAATGTTAATGTTAAACAAGTTTGCTGAGTTCCTATGTATCATAAAGCTTAAGTTTTGCCTTTGAAATCTCATTTTTCAGCCATTCATTTAGATGCATTGAAGACTGCATTTCCATTTTCTTTTCATTCACACATCCACTTCAATAATCAATTTCAGTGCTTTCCAAGTTATGTGTGGTGAGGGACCAGTTTTTATTTTTTAAATTCCTAGTCCTTCAACTGAATACTTTTATAATACAGATGAATTACTAGGCAAATAAAATTCTAAAAAGACTTAGAAAATACAAGCCCAATTTTAAAAATTATTTATTTCAACAAATAGAAACTCTGTCACATTGCTGTGAAAAGTTTCTAAGCACTAATTTCTTCACAGACTGGTACCCAACAGTTGGTGAAGGGTCCCCAATCCTCAGACCACACTTCACCTGGCATGGTTCTGGTGGAAGCCAAGAAAGACTATTGCTGTGGTACATGATAATTTTACTCCATTCGCCCTGACGTTATTTCAGGAGTATAATTTCTCCTTTACATAAAATATTCATATTATATCAAAATCACATGACTTAAAAAAAAAAGACAAAAGTGTTTTTTTTTCCAGATCTGCTTTGCATCCCCATGTACTCTGTAACTCCTTCTGCTGTTTCCCCCTGGGTAGCCCTGAGATATAAAGATAGCATGGTATTTAAAAGTGGCATAAAATAGGAATGAGTGTGTGTAAGCTCACTGTCATATTTACAAGCAGCAGTTGAGATGTGGAAGTGGAATTTAGTAATTAGGGATTGCTGTGTTTTGAGTGAAAGTATTTTAAAATATGATCAGTGCACATTTAAGGCAACTGAGCCAGTCAGATCAAATAATACCTAGAATGAGACCATTAGTTTTCTTTGTAGACATCCACTGGCTTTGATTTTACCCAGATGGTAAAAATACATTATCAAGATAGTTGTGATGATAAAGGAAAATGTATCCTTTCTTTTCTCTTGGCGCCTCAGATCTGCAGGCCATGAAGAAATAGAAGTCTCTGCATTCAGATGGATAGGAGGCAGTGTATTTTTATCAGTGTTATACACGGTAGATATTTTACATTAAAACTGAAGTCACAGAGATTATTCAAATTCTTCATAAAAAAATGAGTGTTTATTTGAACATTGTTAACATTGTGATTAAGTGTCATTGACAAAGAAGCCATAAGCATTTGCTGTGTCAACTCCTCACTTCAGACTATTCATGAGTACATCAGTTTTTTCTTGCCTGGTTGTGGAATATTAATACATTTTAGGAAATGTAATGGTTTATTATCCATGTCACTGTTTCATGGTGATGTTGAATGTTTGTTCTCTGGTGTCATAAGGAGTATAGGAGTGCAAACACTACCTTGTAAAAGGGGACAAAATTGTTTGTTTCTCTGCTATCCTCACCCGTAGCATTTTTAGTTGAAAACCTTTCATTTACACTTTAGAGTTTATTTTCTGTCCATATAACTGAAAATTATTGCTTGTTAAGAAAGAGATAGATGTACGATGCCAAAGGCAGATGGCAGACTTTGGGGTTAATGTCATTGTTACTGTAATTGTCTGTTTATTCCAAAACATTTACCTTTTTTTAAGACCTTATTTTTAGAGCAGTTTTAGAACATTTACTTTTTATGAGTTTTTATTAATATTTGCATGTGGTTGACAAATCACTAATGTGATTAGAACCAAGATCTGTTTCATTCATACCCAGAGACAAACTCTTTTAAACAATTCTTGCTTAGTTCCTTTGTATTTCTTTCTATTATTACTAGGAATTATGGCAGTAACTCTAGATAATAGATAAATCCTTACATATCTGTTTCCAAATTTGTCACCTTTAGATAATGTCATTGACTCTCTACCATAAAAGATGAGGATTTCACTCACTTATATTGTCTTCTTCCTTCCTCCTCTTCTCAGTCCTTGATAGCTGTATTTTAGTTCATAGTTTGTGTTCGTTTTTGGTTATTCCACTGGTTTCCACCGTGGAATTTTGGGGTAAGAACTATCTGTCCTCAGAAGGGCATTGGTCTGTTGATTTCTAGTAGCCAGGGTTGGGTGGGAAGTCGAGGTCGGTTGATTCTCTTTTTTTTATAGATAGCTTTGCAGTGATCCTCTAGGAGCTTTTGGAATATTCCAGTTACCCCGCAATGTTAGAAATTCAAGATGGAAAGACTCAGTCTGGATCTTCTTTCATTAATTGAGCCCTGCTCACTCTGTGACTCTTTTCAATATGAAGACATAGGTCCTTTGTAGCTCTTGGAAGTTGTCTTTTGTTATTCTTTGACCACTTCCCCCTTGTGTTCTCTTTGCTTTTCTGTCTGGAACTTACATTGGCCACAGATGGCTCTTCAACAACATTTTTGGAGTAGCTACTTTATGCCAGCCATTGTCGTCTTCTAGAGGTCAGTAGGACATGAGGGCTGGGGCAAAGCTTGCCCTCGAGAATTTGAATTTATTCCGAAATTGTAGAATGAAGAACAGTAACTAACGTTCTTCTTCTTTTTTTTTTTTTTAAAAAAAGTTGGAACCCAGAAAAAGCATACTAAAATGAAAAAACATAATTTATGTTGTCTTATTGATGTTTATCTTTTTTTTTTTTTTGAAAGTCTTGCTCTCATCTCCCATGCTGGAGTGTGATGGTGCAGTCTCGGCTCACCGCAACCTCCGCCTCCTGAGTTCAAGCAATTCTCCTGCCTCAGCCTCCTGAGTAGCTGGGTGCCCGCCACCACGCCTGGTTAATTTTGAATTTTTAGTAGAGACGGGGTTTCACCACATTGGCCAGGCTGGTCTCAAACTCCTGACCTCAGGTGATTCCCCTTACCCCTAGCCTTGGCCTCCCAAAACACTGGGATCACAGGCATGAGGCACTGCTACTGGCTGCTGCTTACTTTTTACTTATTCACTTTTATTATTATTCACTGTTTATATTTAACTTAATAACTTTTAATTACTCACCTTGAAATCTTTCCAGTAGGGACACACAGAATGTTTTTATTTCAGCAGCATTACTGAGCCTGAAATTGAGTCTAGTCATCTAAATAATTCAACATGATCTCTGAAGGAAAAATACTCTGAGCATCACTTAGGGTTTCACTGCAAGCAATAGAAACCGATTTTGCCTTGGGGAGAAAAAAAGACTTATTTGGCAGAATTAAAGACAGATGTAACAATCAGGTTGCCAGAAGGCTGGGTATTAGGACAGCTCTGGTCATTTCCAAGGTAGAAATAAATAGCAGGTCTCTTCAGAGTGCTGACACTAGAAAGATCCTCCTCTAAATGTTTTTGTGAATTTTGACATTTTGCTTAAGGTTCAGGTTACAAGGAGAAGACTGTTGCCTTAGCTTGACTCATATGCTCACTTTTTAGGTGGAGATGGGAACTCAGTGGACCGTTCCATGATGAGCACAAAGACTAATGGGAGTAGTTCCTAAGGGGAAAAACAGCTCTATCATCAAAAAAATAGATAAGAATGACAAGTATCCACTGTGTTGTGTACTGATGAGCAGTGTTCAATTCTAACTGTCTTGTTCCCTTTTGATCCTAGTGCTGCCTCCTGTGCTTGTGCCAAGACACAGTGAATATAACCCCCAGCTCAGCCTCCTGGCCAAGTTCCGCAGCGCCTCCCTGCACAGTGAGCCACTCATGCCACACAATGCCACCTATCCTGACTCTTTCCAGCAGCCTCCGTGCTCTGCACTCCCTCCCTCTCCCAGCCACGCGTTCTCGCAGTCCCCGTGCATGGCCAGCTACCCTCACTCCCCGGGAAGTCCTTCTGAGCCAGAGAGTCCGTATCAGCATTCAGGTCAGTAAGAACTATGGTCTGTGGGGCAATATGGGAAAATAGGCCCAACATGATGATTTATGATGGACTGTCACAATGACAGTCATTGTAACTGTTATTCATATAGTGTCAACAGTTTACAAAGCAATCACCCCTAAAATGATTAGGGCTATACCCATTTTGAGGCAGTTACCTTGGAGATACAACATGTTCTTGCTATGAAAGCTCTCAGAAACTAAATGGCTTTGAATAGTATCCCTGGGAATTTCCAAGGAGTTTTTTAAGGCAGTAGAAATAAGATTAAAAGACTTCTTTAATCTAGGCAGAAGACTTGGCCTGAGGACAAGCAACATGGAAGAGCAATCCTAAGCCTCTACCTTGGTTACCTCTTTCAACAGTCAAAGGATGTCCTTGCCTAAAACATATGTCTGCATCCCTTGGGTGAGGGAGAGAGTGAAGCTCCAGCTTTAGCCAGTACATTCTCCCTTTCTGCCATGTAAAGCCAGGACAGCATTTTAAATATAGAGCTCTTCAGTTTGCTGAATGGAGAAAGCATATGGAATGGAAAGGGAGCCTCTAGCATGCTGTCATGATTGCACTTGCAGCCATACCTGTAAAGTGGGTCTAAGTTGAGATAATGAATAAAAGATACATATGTACCTCATGAGTGTGAGACGAATCTTATGCGGAGGTGACAAGTTCCTAAAGGCATGCATAAATACATTTGGTGCCAGATGTTACAATCTGCCTCATTTATTTATTCCTGTAATCTTTTGTGTAACAGCTATTTATTAAAATCTTACTACATGCAAGCATTGCCTTAGGATTGCTGAAAGAGGCATTAACAGGTTAACAAAAACTGTCCGTGTCCTTACAGAGCTTATAAAATGTGGGAAGATAAAGAGGGAATTGGCTTTTCCCCTCTGAGTTACTTAGTTCCTTTTGCCCCTCAGCAAGTTACATAAGCATCTACTATAACTTTTTTGTACTACATTGTATAATTCCTGTGTCGTCTATTTTTTCCGTTAGACAGTGAGTCTTCTTTTTTCTATGTCAAGCACAGAGCTTGAAATGCAGTGGTTGCTCATCAGTTGCTTATTGAATAAAGTACCATACAAGTGTTTATTTATTTTTATTTATTTATCTATTTATTTTTGAGACGAGGTCTCACTCTGGCACCTAGGTTGGAATGCAGCAGCATGATCATGGCTCACTGCAGCCTCTGCCTCCCGGATTCAAGCAATTCTTCCACCTTGGTCTCCTGAGTAGTTGGGATTACAGGGGCGTGCCATCATGCCTGGCTAATTTTTGTATTTTTAGTAGAAACAGGGTGTCACCATGTTGGCCAGGCTGGTCTCAGACTCCTGACCTTAGGTAATCCACCCACCTTGGCCTCCCTAAGTGTTGGGATTACAGGCGTGAGCCAAGGCTCCCAGCCCACACAGGCATTTATAACCTGGACATGGAGCTCCAGAGCATAGGCACAGGTTTCATGGACTCAGTAAGTGATAGCTGAGCAATGCTAAGTATCCAGCACTGGGCCAGTGCTAGAGGGGCAGTGATGATTAAAACAATGTAGTTGTCCCCCCTTATCTGAGGTTTCGGTTACCTGAGGTCAGCTGCAGCCTGAAAATATTCAATGGAAAATTCCAGAAATAAACAATTCATAAATTATAAATTGTATGTGGGGATGAAATCTTGTGCCATCCCGCCCAGGTTCGGTATCATCCCTTCACCCAGTTTATCTATGCTGTAGACACTATCCACCTGTGAGTCAATTAGTAGCTGTCTCTATGTGTTGAGGCATCACAGTGCTTATGTTAGGTCACTCTGATCTAATAGTGACCACAAAGAGCAAGAGTAGTGATGCTGGCATAGTGTTCTAATTGTTTTACTTTATTCTTAGCTACTGTTCCTAATCTCTTACTGTGTTTAATTTATAAACTAAGCTTTATCGTAGGTATATATGTATAGGAAAAAGCATAGTACATATGGTATTCAGTACTATCCACAGTTTCAGGTATCCACTGGGGGTCTCGGACTGGATCTTTGATGGAGAAGGAAGGACTGCCGTGGTCTCTTACCTTCAGGAGGCAGTAGCTATTGAGAGCAATCACATACAGGTAGCCTGTAGCAGTCCAGGCAAGTGATTATAAGGACTTGAACTAAAACAGGGATGTGGGGTTGGAAAGAGGGCAGCGAATTAGATGAGCGGGATTCAGCAGGACTTACTGTGGGGTGAAGGCAGAGATGCTGGAGGGTAGCTTGGGAGTTGTTCACTCAGTGTGGGAGCAGATGGTTGAAGTTTTGCAAGTGGCTGACTTCACTGAGAAGAAATACAACAGAAAGAGAAGTCATTTGAGGACAGAGCCTTGGTGAAGGGACAGGAGGATAATTACGTTGCAAAATATATATTTACATAACACACCTCTGTGCTACAAAGACTTCCTGTGCTGACTTTTAATTCCTGCCCTGGTTACTCTGACAGGTTGATATTCTTTTTCCTCTTTCCACCCATGCAGGACAGACCCCAACAATGATGCAGGAGCTGGTTAGTTTCTCACTGAAGGCATAGCCCTTTTCATTTCAAAGAAAATAACTCTTGTCTGAATGATTAACAGCAAAATGCCAACCTGAATAACAGCCCCATAGATAAACAAGAGTAAAAGGAACTTTTGAGATATACTGGTTCAGCCTCTAAGATTTTTTAAAAAGCTCTATTGAGGTATAATTCACATACCATACAACTACCCATTTCAAGTGTATAATTCCATGGTTTTTCATATGTTAAATTTTTTCAGGTAGTGGGGAAATGTATCTAACAAAGAATTTGCCATTTTAACCATTTTTAAGAGTACAACCTGGCCGAGTGAAGTGGCTCACACCTGTAATCCCAGCACTTTGGGAGGCTTAGGCAGGTGGATCACTTGAGGTCAGCAGTCCAAGACCAGCCTGGCCATCATGGGGAAACTCTGTCTCTACTAAAAATACAAAAGTTAGCTGGGCATGATGGCGCACGTCTGTAATTCCAGCTGCTCAGGAGGCTGAGGCATGAGAATCACTTGAACCCAGAAGTCAGAGGCTGCAGTGAGCCAAGATTGCACTGCACTCTAGCCTGGGTGAGGGAGTGAGATCCTGTTTCAAAAAAAAAAAAAAAAAAAAGTACAATCTGATGGCATTAGGTGCATTCATAATGTTGTGCAACCATCACCACTACCTATTTTCGAAAAATTTTCATCACCCTAAACAGAAACTCTGTACTGATTAAGCAATAGCTCCCCATTTGCCCACTTCCCAAGCCCCTGGTAAGCTCTAAGCTACTTTCTGTCTCTATGAATTTGCCTATTGCAGGTGCCTCATATACTAGATTCATATAATATTTGCCCTTTTGTGCCTGTCTTATTTCACTTAGCAAAGTGTTTTCACAGTTTGCATAGTGGCATACAGCAGTAGTTCATTTTTGTGACTGAACGATATTAGTTTGTATGGCTATACCACATTTCAAAAAATCAATTCATTAGATTTTTGGATTGTTTCCACCTTTCAGCTCTAGTAAATAACACTCTGCTTTCAATTACTTTGAGTATTTACCTAGGAGCGGAAGTGCTATAGCATATAGTAATTCTATTTTCAGTCCCTCTTTTTTTACTTTTAATTTTTTAGAGACAGGGTCTTGTTTTGTTATCCAGGCTGGAGTACGGTAGTACAGTCATAGCTCAGTGTAACTTCAAACTCCTGGGTTCAAGTGACTCTCCCACCTCAGCCTCTGAGTAGCTAGGATTACAGGTACACATCACCATCCTCAGCCAATTTTTAATTTTTTTTTTTTTGTAGGATGGGGTCTCATCATGCTGCCCAGGCTGGTCTCAAATTTCTGGACTCAAGTGTTTCTCCCACTTCAACCCCCAAAAGTGCTAAGATTATAGATGTGAGCCATGGTACTTAGCATGTTCTGCCTCTTGAATAAATAAACATACTTAGTCAAAGACCTGCAAAAAGCCCATCTTGCTTTATGACTTTTCACCAGAGTGATAGGAGTCATAGTCCATTTTCTCACAAGGACATAGCCTATCCATGGTTTCCTAGTATGGTCCATGAACCCCTGCATTAGAATCACCATCGGGGCATGTTAAAATGTCCATGGCTACATTTAACCACTAACCTGTTGAATCAGAATTGCCAAGGATGGGGCCAGGAATCTGCATTTTTAACAAACCCTACTGGCAATTTTTGTGCACACCTAAGTGTGAGAACTACTTGTATGGACAATTTGATACAACAAAGGAAGATCGATTCAACTTTTTTGCTGTTGTATTCTGCCACGGATGGAACAAAAACATTCTGAACTAACATTAGAAATGTACACTGACAGAATCAGTTGTTTTGTGCTGAGGTCCTCCATAAAGAGTTTTCTCATGAGTTTTTATTGTGTTATGAATTACTTCCTGATAAGTTATTATCAATGAATGTATCCAATTTGCCTAACCATGATCACTGTCCAGTCACAGAACTGCCATTTGGGTAGAAGGGCCCTTCTCAGCCTGCATTGGGCACAAAGTTATAATCACGTTTCAGCTATTCTGTGCTTTGGGGGCATATCCTGAAGTATCTTAGGGATAGAGCATCCCCGTGGCCATTGTACAATTCATGGCAACATAGAAGCTGAAAATTAGTCTCATTTCGGAGAAGATTTAGTTTTCTCTGTGGTTTGCAAGCCAGATAACAGACTATTCTGCTATGAGGAAAGTTGGGAGAAGAGGTCTTGCATTTCAAAGTTTTGCCATGAAGTCATTAGAACTCAATGATGTAACTCAAAAGTTAGAGGGAAAATGAACTGAATCTTGGGTGAGGCTCTCAGAACAACCAGTTTCTTTTATAGGGCACCCACAATGTCTTCTCCTGAAGACAGTCTTGTTACATTAACATGGTCTGTCTGTAGGAGTAGCACTGTTCACCAAGCCCAGTAATTTAATGGCAAAAGATGTCGGATCCAGCTGTGTTTGTATGGTTTATTGATCTGACAATTCCTTTGTTCTACTGCTTTCTTTTAGTTGACACACCACCCCTGCCTTATCATGCCACAGAAGCCTCTGAGACCCAGAGTGGCCAACCTGTAGATGCCACAGCTGATAGACATTTAGTGCTATCGATACCAAATGGAGGTAAATTGTAGATGAACAGTGAAATGTAGCTATTTTCCAAAGTATTTCCTATTAACCCCAAACAAAGCGACTCAAAAAATAAAACCAGAAATGTATTGATTGGCCTGCTGTTTGGCATGTGTTTTAAGAGGCAAATGGCATGCCTTTGCATTTTTTTTTTCACCTAGGTACAGGTGGGTTGAGGCCAAAAAGGATGTAAGCCTTTTTATTTTTATTTTTTCATGGCTTTGCATTTTAACTTTGACATTCCTTAGTACTGCAGAATTAATGTTTATCATCTTCATTACCAGAATAAGTTAACTTTTTGTTTTAACTTCACATTTAGAAGTTTGTAGTTCTTTTTTTTTTTTTTTTTGAGATGGAGTCTTGCTCTGTCACTGGACTGGAGTGCAGTGGCAAGGTCTCAGCTCACTGCAACCTCCTCCTCCCAGGTTCAAGTGATCCTCCTGCCTCAGCCTCCTGGGTAGCTGGGACTACAGGTGTGCACCACCACGCCCAGCTAATTTTTTGTATTTTTAGTAGAGATAGGGTTTTACCAATGTTGGGCAAGATGGTCTCGATCTCTTGACCTCGTGATCCGCCTGCCTCAGCCTCCCAAAGTGCTGGGATTATGTGAGCCACTGTGCCTGGCCAGAAGTTTGTAGTTCCTGATGTTTAGTATGGAACTGGGAACTCAAGAAGTTAGGGATTTTATTCTATTTGTGTTTTTACTATATGTTTACAGTGATGTCTTTCATTTGGCCAGAGAGGTACTCTTAGAAATATACATAAATGGGGTTTTTACAAAATTTTATTTGCATCTTAGAATAATAGTCTAGTGTTGCTTGACTTTAATGTTTGTATAAATCACATTGTGATCTTGCATAAATGCACGTTTTGATTCCTTAGATCTTAGGGTGGGGTCCAAGAATCTGTATTGTTAAGCTCCCATGTGACACAGAGGCTACTGTTCCATGAGCCACATCTTGAATAGAGAGGTTCCGAAGAAGTTTACCGTTTGAAATACTCCAAGTGAATATTTTTATAAGTTAAGATCCTTTTGTAAGAGAGATAATAACCCCAAATTTATCCATTTCGTAAATTTATATTTAGTGCGTATAGGAACATATTCTAGATGCAAGAATGATGAGGACGTTCCAGAAGGAGAAAGATAATCTGATCAATGGACAGAGAAAGGGTGTGGGTGGCAAAGAAAGAAGGAACTCTGAACTTTGGTTGGTTACAGAAAAGTGACTTAACTTTAGGTTGGGTGTGAAAATATTCATGGGTTTACTAATGAAATATACTGCTCTCTTTAAATGGTTTTTTTTTTTGTCATGCATAACTAGATATTCCACAAAGCAGAATGTGAGCCCCTCTGTAGAAGTGTTTTTTCCCTTAAATAATTTAATGTCTTATTCAGCATTATTGATTTGCTTTTTTATCATAGCCAAACTGTTATTTTCCATCTCTAGTTTGTTGGAAAATGATACTTTTTGCCACAAGGATTCAAGAGGGCACAATAGCAGTGACATGCCATCTCGCACATGTTTCTGAAAGAAGAGGTGACCTGCCGGCTTCCTTTTAGCTGTGCTTGCTTTAGGGTTGACAGTTTTTTATGTCCATCTGTTTGTGTCATGCTTCCCTGGCCCCTTCATTACCAATACATAGTTTATAAATGCTCTAGCCATGGAAGATGAACAAGGACTGTGGGCTGTGCATTTCAGGTGGGCTGGTGAAATGAGCCAGCCCCAAGCAGCTCCCATGAGAGCTACAGGTTCTGAAAGGTTGCAGAGCGGCATACTTGGTGTTGCAGCCGACTTTGTGGTTAAAAGCATTAACTGGGTTTCCTGGTGAAATCATGAGCTACACAGCCCAGGTATGACAGTAGCCATGTGCTATCTGGTTTGTTTTCTTTCAGACTTTCGGCCAGTTTGTTATGAGGAGCCCCAGCACTGGTGCTCGGTCGCCTACTACGAACTGAACAATCGAGTTGGGGAGACATTCCAGGCTTCCTCCCGAAGCGTGCTCATAGATGGGTTCACCGACCCTTCGAATAACAGGAACAGATTCTGTCTTGGACTTCTTTCTAATGTCAACAGAAACTCAACGATAGAAAATACCAGGAGACACATAGGAAAGGGTAAGAGCAAAGATGTCATTCTGTTAGTCATCTAGCCAAAATGTCGATGGTCATGTATGTAGAAATGCACCTGACCATCTTCACATATCAGTCATGTGCCCCCGTGGAAGGGCCCCAGTGCTGGTGAGCTCTGAGATAGCTCTGACATTACCATGGGGCAAAGCACGTGGCTTGTCAGGATCTTAGTCCCTCTGCCTCTAAAGTCATCAGCCGCCTTCTAGGGGTGGGTGGCATAGAGTGGGGATGGTGAAGACAAGCAAGATGATAAATATGAAGAAAGCAGGGTGAAATTATTGAATAGAAGTACTATGCATTATTTTTGATTTGCCTAAAACTTGCAAACTGGTATCATTTCTGAAGAAGAGGAATTCTGACTGGATGATGATTTGTATCAGGTAAAGTTCCCTTTGGAGGTTAGCAGCTAGATAGTTAGAAAGAATGACTGATATATGTCTGGAAGCCTTTGGCATGTGATTGGGGTTCTCCTGTGTGCCGGTATATAGCAGCTGATTGGGCACAAGTCACACTGGCCTCTGTTCTGACCAGTGATGCTTTTGAAGCCCATCTCATTGGTGTGAGTGTTGGTAGCAGATCTCAGCTGAGTGTGTGGTCTGGCTGAGGATCTTTAACTTACATTCTTTTATATTGGAATAGTTGGTATCTCAGAGTGATACTATGGAGTCCCAGATGTAGAGAACCTTCAGTCATTTGACCTTTTCTCTCTCCATCCAGCACTTAAACCACCTCAGGAAAGTAGCCTGAGCCTTTTCTTTCAAATTTCCAGGGGAGATCTGTTGTTTCCTTTGGTGATGCATTGTAATATTCTTCCTAACACACCTTCAAAATGTCTCCTGTTGGAGTAAACCTAAAAACCATTGTTTAGAAACAGGCTGAAATTATTCATTGATGTTGACTCTTAATGGAGACAGTTACTTTATGTTTATTTATATTCTGTCTCCATAGTGGCTTTAAGGCAAGTTACGAGAAACCATTGCAGTGAAATGATAAATGAAAAATAGAAAATCAGAAACGGGGGCTAGGGGAGGGAAGAAGAATCCAGATATGTCATCCATAAGGGTTAACACTGTTAACCAAGCTAAGCAGGGTTGGGCATGGTTAGTACATGGACGGGAGAATGCCTGTCCTCCTGGGAATGCAGCCCAGTAGGTCTTAGCCTTATTTTACCTAACCCCTATTCAAGATGGAGTTGCTCTGGTTCAAACAGCTTTGACACAGAGAGCTAGAGAAGATGGTGGTGATTTTCCTCTAGGTTTCCTGACAGGGAGGGAAGAATTGGAAAACTCACCCTGGAATGTAATTTTTATCCCAAAGTGGGAAACATAGCCATTCCTCAAAGGAAATAATACTTTGAATGAATTCCTAAACAAATTTCTTGAGCATGCCTTTACTTTCAGATGATTTTTAGAAGAACCTTTAGTGAAATCTCAAGTCAAAACATTAACACATAACGTTGTGAAGCAGTTTGCTGAGGAGCTTTGCAGATTGGTCTGCATATTCAACATCTGCTGGTGCCAGTGGATCCAAAGACAGGATTAAAATATTAAAGGAGTGCTGAATGTGTTTTAGGAACCTGTCTGCAAGTTGCTTCTTCAAGGTGCTCCTGCTGAGGACATGGAGAGTCTGTGTTAGTTTGTTTTTGTTGCTGTAAAGGAATACCTAAGACTGGGTAATTTATAAAGAAAAGAGGTTTATTTGCCTCATGTGTTTGCAGGCTGCATTACAGCATATGTGCCGGCATGTGCTTCTGGTGAGGGCTTTAGGAAGCTTCTGGTCATTGCGTAAGGCAAAGGAGAGCCTGTGTGTCAACTGGGAAGAGAGAAGTGAGGGAGGTGCTGGGCTCTTTTTAACAAACAAATCTGGCAGGAACTAATAGAATGAGAATTCACTTATGATCTCAAGGAGGGCAGCAAGCAGATCATGAGGGATCTTCCTGCACGACCCAGACACTTCCCACCGAGCCCTACCTCCAGAATTGGGAATCAGATTTAGATGTGAGATTTGGAGGAGTCAGATCTCCCAGTTATATCAGTTGCTGCTGTGTTGTTAACTGAGAGCTCATCCTTAGGGTTAAGAAGCCACATGAGCAGGAGCCGGGACTGATTACCTGTTCCCCAAACTGGAGCACCTAACAGTGCTCCCCTAGATTCAAGGGTACTCATGGTCACATGGTCCCAAGGCAAAGTTACAGGTTTCTCAGAGCTGCTTAGGACTTACTCCAGTGTGGAAAAAAAAAATTCTTAGACAAGCTACAAGTTTTGCCATAAAGCCTGGCAGGGAAAAAAGTGTTGGCTTGGGAGATTTTAAAGCAAGCACAGTCGTCCTTCTGTGAGATCACAGGAGTCTCTCTCAGATGCTGCCATAGTTTATCTGGTTCTTAGCAGCATGGCTTCCCAGAGCACCGGCCTGAAGAAGTTAGCCGCAAAAGGCACTCCTAGGCTATCGAATGAGTTAACTTGCTCTGTGAAATTAATTAATAGACATTAGATTTTAGTGATATGCATTCATCTCACAAATCTTTACTGAGCACTGACTCTCAGCCAGACTGGACACTGGGGTTGCAGCAGTGGAAAAAAGACAACACCCAGATTTCATGGATGACTTGCTGCTAGGGGAAAGACAGACCAGAAATACAACATACAGGATGTCCAATAGAGAAACGCAAAGCAGGGGAAGAGAATGGAGACTTTAAACCAGTGTAACCAGGGAAGGCCTTCCTGAGAAAGTGACATTTCAGCAGATGTTACCAGAAATCTGTCCCGATCCAGACCCCAAGAGAAACTTCTGGGACCTCACACAAGAAAGATTTGGGGTGAATCCATAGAGTACACTGAAAGCAAGTTCATTAGAGAAGTAAAGAAATAAAAGAATGACTATTCCACAGGCCGAGAAGCTTCATGGGCCGCTCGACTGATAATACTTAACAATCATTTCTTGATTATATGCTAAACAAAGGGTGGATTTTTCATGAGTTTTCTGGGAAAGGGATGGAGATTTCCCAGAACTGAGGGTTCATTCCCTTTTTAGACCATGTAGAGTAACTTCCGGGCATGGCCGTGGCATCTTTAAACTGTCATGATGGTGGTGGGAGTGTCTTTTAGCATGCAAATGCATTATAATTAGCGCATAAGGAGCAGTGAGGATGACCAGAGGTCACTTTCATCACCGTCTTGGTTTTGGTGCATTTTGGCTGGCTTCTTTATGGCACTCTGCTTTGCCAGCGGGATCTTTGTGACCTGTATCTTGTGCCAACCTCCTATGTTACCTGCGACTAAGAATGCAGCCCAGTAGGTCTCCCCCTTGAGGCCATTTTAATGACTTTGGTTTTTACTCTGGGAAATGGGAAGGTAGATTTAGGTTGAGGAGTTTATGTTGTAAACCAAAAAGTATCTGAGACAAGTCTCAATCAATTTATTTATTTTTGTTGATTTTATTTTATTTTTGAGACAGAGTTTTGCTCTTGTTGCCCAGGCTGTAGGGCAATGGCACAATCTTGTCTCACTACAACCTCTGCCTCTCAGGTTCAATTGATTCTCCTGCCTCAGCCTCCTGAGTAGCTGGATTACAGGTGCCCGCCACACACCCAGCTAATTTTTGTATTTTTGGTAGGGACAGGGTTTCACCCTGTTAGCCAGGCTGGTCTCGGACTCCTGATCTGCCTACCTTGGCCTCCCAAAGTGTTGGGACTACAGGTATGAGCCACTGCACCCAGCAGTGGTCTCAATCGATTTAGAAAGTTTATTTTGCAAGATTAAGGATATACCAGTGACGTGGCCTCAGGAGGTCCTGGTGGCATGAGCCTAAGGTGGCTGGGCTATACCTTGCTTTTATACATTTCAGAGAGACATAATACATCAGTCAAGGCATGTAAGATTTACATTGGTTAGATCTGGAAGGGTGGGACTACTTAAAGGAGGGGTTGGCTTCCAGGTCATAGGTAGATTTAAACATATTCTGATTGGTAATTGGTGGAAAGAGTTATTACCAATAGAAAGGAATGTCTGGATTTCATAAGGGGTTGTGGAGACCTAGGTTTTATCATGCAGATGAAGCCCCCCAGGTAGCGGACTTTAGAGAAAGTAGACTGTAAATGTTCGTTATCAGACTCTAGCTCTGCATTGATGTTTATGCTGGAAAGATATAATGAGGCATGTCCAACCCCCACTTTCCATCATGGCCTAAACCTGTCTTTCAGGTTAAATTTTAGAGCACCCTGGCTGAGGTGGGGATCCATTCAACTGGTTGTGGGGCCTTAAAATTTTATTTTTGCTTTACAATACGATCTGAGTTTACACTTTGAAAAGATCCCCTAGCTGTTCTTTTGAGATTAATTAGACCATGATGGACGAGGATGGAAGACATCTTTTTTTTTTTTTTTTTTTTTTCGAGATGGCAGTCTTGCCCTGTCACCCCGCTGGAGTGCAGTGGTGTGATCTAGGTTCACTGCAACCTCCGCCTCCTGGATGCAAATGATTCTCCTGTCTCGGCCTCCCAAGTAGCTGGGATTACAGGTGCATGCCACCACGCCTAGCTAATTTTGTATTTTTAGTAGAGACGGTGTTTCACCATGTTGGCCAGGCTGGTCTCAAACTCCTGACCTCAGGTGATCTGTCCGCCTTCACCTCCCAAAGTGCTGGGATTACAGGTGTGAGCCACTGCACCTGGCCTGAAGATACATTAAAAACTTTTTAAAAATTATAGTTAATGTTAAAAACATGCACTTTGAATGAAGAGCCTCTCAAACAGGCTTTGTGTGAGCAACATGGCTGTTTATTCACCTGGGTGCAGGTGGGCTAGTTTTTGGGTAGGGGGCAGGGGTGTTATGGAGTAAGATCAGTTCCTGTGGTGGGGATAAGGGCAAGGAATATACATTACCATAAATTCAGTTACAGCATTGGGCGGGGTAAGCCATAAGGGTAGTTAAGATGGCAGGGTGGGGTGCAGAGTATTCACATTATCATGAGAACAGTTAAGATGGCAGG